TGTATCATTAAATTTCAGATATATATCCCAAAATTATTTGTTGGATGTCGATGTATCTGATTCACTTAGGTTGAGGCCTCCTAGTCTCATCTAATCTAGCCAATTTATCAAAACATTTGTTCGATGGAAGTTTCCGGCAAATTTAGCTGTTTTAAAACCTTATGCCAATTTCATCATTTATCGTTGGAAAATAAAAAGAAAGAATTGAGAAATCTTTCGCATTATTGGTGCCAACTGTCAGAGCGCTCAGCTGCTTCCATTTCCACAGGGCATGGGGCTGTTGACCATGGCTGTCTCCATCAAGTCCTTGAGGCCGACCTGCAACAGTGAGACCTGCGGCTACGCGACGCCGTCGCAGGTCGCCTTCTTCTACGCCTCCCTGTACGTCATGGCCGTCGGTGCCGGTGGAACCAAGCCCAACATCTCCACCTTTGGCGCCGATCAATTCGACGACTTCGACCGCCACGAGCGCAAGCTCAAGGCGTCCTTCTTCAACTGGTGGATGTTCAGCTCCTTCTTCGGCGCGCTGATCGCCACGCTTGGCCTCGTCTACGTCCAGGAGAACGTCAGCTGGGGCGTCGGCTATGGTATTCCCACCACCGGCCTCGTCGTGTCGCTGCTCATCTTCTACGCGGGCGCGCCGAACTACCGTCACAAGGCTCGGAAGGCCGAGAGCCCGGCCAGGGAGATTGTTAAGGTTTGGACTACGGCCTTCGCGAACCGGCGGTTTGAACTCCCCGACGACCCGGTCGAGCTCTTCGAGCTCGAGCCCCGGCATTACCTGCTCACCGGGAAGCGGCGACTGCATCACAGTTCTTCCTTCAGGTAAGGCTTTCTTCTCGTCTTGTTGCAGTTCTTAGCTGCTGCTTTGGAGTAGGTTCCTTGACAGGGCGGCCATCAAGGAAGGGGCGTATCCCTGCACGGTGACGCAAGTCCAGGAGGCGAAGCTGGTGGCGGGCATGACTCTGATCTGGTTCGCTACCCTCGTCCCCAGCATCATCGCAGCGCAGGTCAACACCCTCTTCGTGAAGCAGGGAACCACCCTGGACCGCCAACTCGGCCAGGCCTTCCGCATCCCCGCCGCCTCCCTCGGCAGCTTCATCACCATCTCCATGCTCCTCGCGGTGCCGTTCTACGACCGTTACTTCGTCCCCTTCATGCGGCGCCGCACCGGCAACCCTCGCGGCATCACCATCCTACAGCGCCTCGGCGTCGGCTTCGGCTTCCAAGTCCTCGACGCCCTCGTCGCCTACGCCGTCGAGCTCCGCCGGATGCACGTCATCAGAAAGCGCGCCGTGGCCGTGCCGGGGGACACCGTGCCCATGAGCATCTTCTGGCTGCTGCCGCAGTACGTCCTGCTCGGCGTCGGCGACGTGTTCAACGCCATCGGCCTGCTGGAGTTCTTCTACGACCAGTCGCCGGAGAGCATGCAGAGCCTGGGGACGACGTTCTTCACCAGCAGCATCGGCGTCGGCAACTTCCTCAACAGCCTCCTGGTGACGGTGGTGGACAGGGTGACGAGGGCGGGCGGAGGGAAGAGCTGGATAGGGAACAACCTCAACGACTCGCACCTCGACTACTACTACGCTTTCCTGATGGCCATATCGGCCATCAACCTAGCCCTCTTCCTCTGGGCGTCGAGCGAGTACGAGTACAAGGAGGAGGCGTTGGAGGTTACAGAGGCGAAGGTGGTGTGTGTGCAGATGGAGGGCATGCTCGTGGATTCGCCTCCAGCTTCGTCGGAGGGTCGAGTGAGACAGTGAGTGCAATTAAGCAGCAGGAGTTGCTTTATTAGTATGCAATTCCACATCGCACTCAACACTTGTTGCTTGGCTTTTAATCCTTTTGTAATTTCTCCTATTATTGTGATTTACACTGATAACGCAATTGAGTATTTTCTTTATAGCTTGATATGATTAAAATACACAATGATATATATATAGGGTATGGATATTTCAGTTACATCAATTTTCTTTAGTTGATTTTTTTTAAGTATAATTAATGAATATGAAATTTAAGCTCAGAGTCTTGTAATAATCTGTCAAATTATTTACCAATTAGGCTAGCCAATACTTTTAAAAATATACCAAACGAGTGTCAATCTTTATTTTCATCCTATACATATAAATATTTCTAATATCTATCATTTTTATATGTTGGTTAATTGTCCATTGCTTTCCCTTTAAGATCATTCTGCCTCATTTTATTTCAACTCATCTTCATTTAGTCAAACTATATCATGATATAGATTAGGTTTAGTCTTTTAACTCATTGATCCAATTTTTGTTTCCCTTTTTTTATTTAATTTAGATTAAAATTTATCAACCTAACTTTGATACTAATGTTACATTTTTTAAAATTTATTATTTTTTAATGTCAACTAGAATTAACATGAGATTAATGGATGTTGATATAATTAAAAAAACTTAACTTATAAGTTACAAAATAAATTTTTGAGAATATATTTATATTTTTAATATACATTTGGAGAAAGAGACTTGAGTGAATGTGTAGTTACAGAATGCTTTGGGTGTTCTTAAAGGGTAGATAACACCTGCATTTTAAATATGCATTAACGTAAGTGTTGTATGATGAAACTATATATCAAAAGTCCATTGAATATTATATGATAAATTTATCCTTCTAATATTTGAAATATTTATTCAAAAATAAATATAGATAATTTTTCATTTAAAATAATAAGCAAATAAAATAAATAAATACAATTTAAATTATAGAAGACATAAATAAATATTGTTAATATTGTGATTTTAGATAATGTCATAAGATACTTTAAAAATATAAAAAATTATATTCATATCCTATAAATACCAAAATGCTAATGCTACCTTGAGGTAGCATCAACATTTGAACATTTGTAATATAGCGTCTAAGCCAAATATGATTTTAAAGAAAAATTAAACATCAATGCATATGTGACATGTGTATCGAGCCCTCAATGCATATTTTAAATTTTAAATATGTTTTCAAGCACACCCTTATCGGGACTCTCTCAATATTTCTTACTAACATCAAGGAGCACTACAAATATACTTATGGAATCCTATATATCATATAACTTACTATATCTAGTCAAATGGAGAAAGAAAAAAGAAAGGAAGGAAGGCAGCATAGAACACCAAGGCAAGTGGCATATGTTCATGTTAAAATCTACTTCTAAAGTATTTCAATAAATTATGATTCAAAATGACTGCCTTTGCTTCAAGAAATTTAATAACAAAAGAAAAGGAAAACACTCTCCAAGGGAATTCTGCGGATCAAAACAAAAAGGCCTACTTCATTATGATCTCATTCTAGACTGTATAATTGAATATCCAAAAGGAAAAGTATAATGTTAAACCATTGGGACTGAAAAAATCAGCAATGACACACCTCAAAAGAATGCCTTTGATTTGAGAACAAAAATAAGAAAACTGTATATCATTATGATTTCATTCCAAACTGTATCATTCATGATTGGAAAAACAAAAAAAAAAGGAAGAGAATATGGAAACAATATTCTTAGTTTGGTTTCAAGATAAAAGAACAAAATTATCCTGCTCTTAAAATCCTATATGATGAGGCTCATTTATCTCTAGCCATAAGGAAAATATCGATCATATAGCTTGTCTAATTATAAGGAAAAAAATATTCACAAATTGGCAAAGTTCTTGTTCTTGGACTTAAGGCTGAACAGAACTTAAGATTAGATACCATGGATAAGTGAGAGCTTATGAGATTCTGATGATTGATGATTGCTGCATTCCCACATTAACTTGTTTTTTTTGCTAATTTCAGGTAAATTGAACCTGCATTAGAAGTCTACTGCTTGTAATCTCTACTAATTATTTTGTTGTAATTTAGACAAACCTAAAATTTGAAGCTGGATTTCTCTCTTCTCTACAATCAACTTTGGCATGAAGTGCATCCTCAAAGTTGGTGTTCAATTTGAAATGATTAAAGATTGATCCATGTCAGGTTCAGGTTTAATGATCTATAAATTTGATACTACCTTTGGGGTAAGAATTTTGACGAACAAGAGAATTATCATAAAAAAAATCAAGCATAAAATCGAAAGAAAATAATCTTTATTGCTTATAAAGCTAAAGTACTAACTACAAGATTTAAAACAATGAAATTAAAAATGTGATACAAAGTTTATAGATGCATAAGAATGCATGTTGTTTTTGGACAGTACTTGAGTGCTCTTAGCAGTTTGCATATTACTATCAACTTCGATATCTTCCTTCACCCTTATTGTTGGAACCTCCTATTGATGTTTGGACAGCAAGCAAGATGTTTTGGGTTGCTAGAACATGAGGAAGAAGACTGAGGTCGAAAGAAGTAGATTGTAAAGTGCAGAATTTTTTCATCTCTTCTCCTCGCTACTTTGAGGCTATATAACTAGGGTCGACTGACTCTTTGTTGGAGATTTCTTTGATTACTTTAGGATGCTTTGGATGTGGTTCTCCTCCTCTTTTTATAGTTGTGGAAGGGGTAGAGTCCTAACTAAGTTAGAACTTGAAGAATCTTAATGAAGTTAGGAGTTAGAGAGTTCTAATATCTTCAAGTCTTGGAGAGTCATAACGCCATTAGGACTTGAAGAATCCTAATATTATTAGGACTTATTTAAGATTGGTGCATAGAAGCCCTACTCCTATTAGGTGTTGGCACCACCCTCTCTCTGTAGCTGTCTTTATTTGGGTAAGGATTGTCCTAATCTTAATCCAACTAGTATTGGGATTAGAGTAAATGAGCTTTTGTGATATGAGATTTTCTAGGAGAAATAAAACCTTGTGGCTTCAAAAAACCCTTTAATATAGTTCGTCTGATTTGGTTGAAAACGGTCAATATCATTCTAATCAAAGACATGTTGAAAAATAAGGTTACAATTAAACTAGATTGATGACAGGATATCTGTAATAATCAGTCTATTTATTCATTCGTTTCTCTCACAGTCCAGTGAATGAAGTCGCAACCTATTTTGAATCCAATCCTAATCTAAGTCTACTGCTAATTTGCCTGGTCAACATGCAAACAGTATCTTGGCATGGAAGGAGATGCAACCATTTCAAGCAATCATGGCAGCAAACCATACACTTCTCAAGTATATAGAAAGTTATACACATCATGTTGCAATGTAATGTGAGAATGAAGGTTTTCTCTTTTATCATTTTATGCCGAACTTAGGATCTTCTCATCTTGGCATGTGAGCAAGTGACTGGATTCTGCAAAAAATGGACAAATGTTGGCAAAAGTTTCATAGAATTTACTACTGATATATTAGTATTTGACCAAAAAGATTGCTTCAAAGAAAGAGAGTGAGGAGGAGGAAGAAGAAGTTTTAACACAGTAAAATCTGGATGTGACGAGGATAAGATAAGCAGTGCAACTTCCATTCTTAAAGGAAGTCAATGGCCTACATAGGGAGAACCAAATTAGTCATACCTTCTGTCTCCCCTCCTTTAATGTTGATGACTAGGGAGGGATCCTAAGGGCATAGGCAAGCGTGTGAGGGAACCCTACATCTCACAATGGTCAACCAGATCACATGCACGTTTAACAACAGCTCATGCATCTCCATCTCTCTGGATCTTTTCTTAATGCAGAAGATTCAAGATCTAAATCTATCAAAGATCAAGATTAAGACATACAAAATTTTGATCGAAACAAGCATCACACGACATGTCCGAAACAAAACGTAAGAATCTGGATGGATGCTCCAAGAATTTTTCTACCCAAAGAGAGAAACATTGTCATTGGTGATGGAGCTGTAATCCGTGGAGCTGGAAGCAGCTGCGGCATACATGGAGGAAGAGGAGGAAGCAGGTGCCCTCGGTGCAGCACCTGAGATCACTCCATTGGAGATGAGCAAGGCGGCGGCGTGCGGCGTGGGAAGGATGGCAGCACCCGTTTGCCTGTACTTGCACTTCAGTATCTGAGCCGTCACCGCCGCGAGCTCTGCCTCCAAGGCTTGGACTTGCTGCTGTAACGTCGAGATGACACCCAGACACCCATACACAGGATCTCTCAGCCTGATGTTTGCTTCGTAAACCAGACTATTTGCTGCGTCGGCTCGCTGGCTCTCAGGAACCTCCTGATTTATTGCAGCAGACAAGCATCGCCATTTAAGTTCATGGAGATTGTAGAGAGATCGAGAGGTCTATGTTCTTACCATCAGCATCTTGGAGACGTTGCTTGCACCGAAGACTCGATGAACTGATGCAAACTTTTGGGGCTCATGAGGGGAGAAATAGGGAGAAAAGGGGCACTCTTGAGCGCACCGCCGCCTCAAGAGCTTACAGGCAGCGCAAGGGGTTGTCTTGTTCACTGTCCCAACCGGGCCTAGCAGTTGCCTCGGTGCCATGTCGTGCGCGACATCGGCTTCCCTCTTTATCTTCTTGCCTACCTCATCAAGCCTCTCCCTGTGGTGCAATCAAGAAACAAGACAGCACCATAGATTCAAGGAAGTAGAAGCAAAGGGTTAGGGTTTTGGCATTCTTGGAACGCCAAACATGTTACAGGTGCATGAGATTGTAGTCTACATTACCTTGCTGTGGACATTCAGGCATGCCACCCACAGAGAGAGAGAGAGAGAGAGAGAGAGAGAGAGAGAGAGAGAGAGAGAGAGAGAGAGAGAGAGAAGAAGAAGAAGAAGAGAGAGAAGTAAGTAA